GAAGTCAAGGAAGTGATTAAAAACCTAGGTAATCACAAAGCTCCAGGCCACGACAATATCACGCCGCAAATGACTAAAAACCTCCCCATCAAATGGATAGTTTTCCTCGCTGGGATCTTCAATGCAGCATTACACCTGTGCTACTTCCCGGAGACATGGAAACATGCCATTATCATAACCATTCCAAAAAAATCACCTGTCAAATCACCTGAAGATCTCAGACCAATCAGCCTACTCTCTACCATCGGTAAGGTATACGAGAGGATTGTTCTTCGCAGATTGCAGACATACGCGGATTCTATTAACTTTATCATTCCTCAACAATTTGGATTCAGAAAAGGACACTCCACAACCCACCAGCTAATCACAGTAATAGACTACATCCAAATAAGAAAGTCCCACAAGGAGGCAGTAGGTGCTGTTTTTCTAGACCTTACCAAAGCCTTTGAAAGAGTATGGCATGATGGCTTGATAGAAAAAATAACAAAAAATCAATTTCCAAGGGATTTTATCAAATTCTTGAAAAACTATCTCCAGGACAGAACCTTTTCAATTAAGCAAGGGAATTATATAACCACGGCAAAACCAACCCAGATTGGAGTCCCTCAAGGCTCTATCCTTGGACCCTACCTATTCAACATATACATCAACGATTTCCCTCAACATCCAAAATGTCAAATAAAACTTTTCGCAGATGACGCAGCAATTTTAGCAAACTCCAAATCAATAGGAATAATAACTACACAACTCCAAAATTACATAAACAGTATAACCAAATGGTGCAACGATTGGAAATTAGACATCAACCCAAAAAAGTCTCAGGCAATAATTTTTCCTCCACTAGACAATAAAAAATTCAAGCCACAATCCATCCTAAAGGTAAACCAGAGCCCTATTAACTGGACTGACAGCGTTAAATATCTTGGAGTTACCTTAGACTCCAAGTTGAAATTCAACATGCATGTCAAAAATATCATAAAGAAAGCAAAAATCGCAAAAATAACATTATCAAGCCTGTTCAACTATAGAAGCAAATTGACTACGGAACAAAAGTTTACTCTATACAGAAGTTGTATCCTCCCGATAGTAACATACGCACTCCCAATTTGGTGTAAATATATTACAACCACAAACAAAAATAGGATAAACGCAATTATGAGAATCTGCCTTCGGACAAGTATAGGAGCTCCATTCAACCTATCAAACAAGATACTGAAGGAGGACTTGAACCAACCCAATCTAGAAGATATGTACCAAACTTCCGTTAAGAAATTATACCTCCAAATGCAAAATTCAAATAATCCAACCATACAAGATATTCTACAAAATAAAGGAGATATCAATCCCCGATTCCAACGACCCGGCCCTGACACTTAGTCAAGAGCCCATCGCCCAACAGCTGCCCTCCTGCAAGGCCTAGGGGGACCACTTCTACTCCACCAACTCGCCATGTGTAAATAGCCAGGACAAGGTGACTCGCGAGCTGTGCTCGAATGTAACACCTGTAAATTGAGACGAAATAAATGAATAAATAACGAACGAAACGATATACCTCTTGGCGTAGAAAGACGAAAATGTTTTTCAATCCAGGGATTGAAAATATGTACCGGGATTGGAGGCCCTAACCTCCAATTTCCTCGCAACTGAAATAGGATTTATATCGTTTGGCAAATAACCATCCAAGGCATTGTTATTAAGACTGCAACTGGAAAGAAAAGAAGAAAAAGGAGAAAACGTTCTTGAAAACATTTTTTTAAATATATCAACGATCTTATTTTGAATCACAGCAGGCAAATGTCAATAGACAAAAGTAGAGAAAGACTAAATGAGAGAGATAGTTATATTTCTCGATTAATCTCAATCAACAGTTTCCTTAGGTTACCTTTTCATCCATCAGTACACAAGTTTCCTTTGGAAAAAGATGGTTACGCGCTCTGAATATATCTGCATAGCATACCTCCCTTAGTTTCTGAATTTGGATTAATATTCAAATAAAATAGGATGATTCCAATTGTCACTAAGTGTGAGTTGGGATGCGATATTAACTACAGTTAAAGAGGAGCACATAAAAGAGATGGCTACGAGTAAATGTTGATGTTAATATTATTTTATATTCACCATCACCTTAACCTTCCTACTCATCACTAACTACAGCGAACACAAATGATATTCCTAGATAATTTTCTTTATTTGAAACTCGGCCAGTGTCCGGGAATTAATTCTTTTCTTCGGGGCCAAAATTCTAGATACGGTAAATGGTAATAAAATAGATAAAAATCAAGATTCAAGCTAAAAACATCGTTAAGACGAAGTTTTCAACTTGAATCCTAATTTTATTTGTCTCATTCCTTCTTACCTTATCTCGATTTCTGGCCTAAAGAAATGGATTCTTCCCTTTAAATATCCGAGAGTTTCAAATAAAATAAATTATCGGAAAATATCATCCGTCGATTTTCTGTAGTTAATGATGATGACTAATAGGACGATCAAGAAGATGATGAATATAGGATAATTCTAACATAAAAACATCTATTACGATGTTATAGGCTTCTCTACAGTTCCAGTTTGATTAGCAGAACAACGCACCATGGCTTGCGGCGTGGAGCGAGGATTGGTGACAAACTGCCATATTCTCTCCAGCCGGTCGTGCTTGCAGGAGGCACAGAGGTTCTCAGCCGTCAGCTTGGACTTCTTCCTCGGGATGATGCTATGGGAGCGCATGGAGGTCCTGCGCTGGACCCAAACATTGCTGCTGGGGATCTTGAATTCTGCCAACACATCAGGAACCGTGTTAGAAGGCCTGAGAATAACACAATAGACTTGTTGCACAACAGCCTTGTATATATGTGGACTACAGAGTTTTCAGGAATTTTGAATTTTCAAAATTTAGATTCGAATGTAGAATTCGACCTCATTATTCTGGCATCTCCCCCAGTCTGGCCTCTCGCCAGGATTGATATACATCCGAACTTGGCGCATCCTATCTAGGGGCTTTCCTAGGATCTCCATCGTCTTAGTTATCAAATCAATGTTTCAGCGCCTTTAATCAGCCCAATTTTCTACAGTATTTATTGCATTAATATTCATTTTATCTGTCTTTTTAATGCATACATGCAGCGATAGTAATACGAGGCTCTTCTAATGATAACATATAGAGTTGTCCATTACTTCTATTCCACAATTTTGCAGAGTCCAGAAACGACACAAGGTCTGATCAGCTCCCCGCGAGTCCCAGTTCGATTATCTCAGCTTCCTAAACATCTTTGTGAGAGTAACTGAGAGAAACTTCGCATGGAGGGAAGAAATTCTTCATAACATGGAGCGTTCAGATGCTGGTTTGTATAAATTGTCTTTCCTTGGCTTCATTATCAAGGTAACAGAATAACTTCGGCGTTCAGACATCGGTCTAGGCAGCCCACCACCCACGGGTACCACAACATGGGTCCGTGCTGCTGTTGGCCTTATATGAAGGTAAGTTAGGTTATCAGAGGACACTGGGTCCTTCCTCCACGTCGTTGGAGGACGAGAGAGGAGCTACCCATGGGGTTATCCGTTCTGGACCACCAACGGACCTTTAAAAACATTGGATCATCGCTATATGTATGCGCCAAGGAACGCTATCATTGCTGAGTACGTCAAGGAAAATCTAGGGGTGTGCATTGTACTAACACCTCCTCCCTCCATTTCTCCAAGTTGGTTCCTCTGTTTGCCCCTGAACCTCTGAAGTCCCTAATTCGTCGGCTGCGGATCCAAACGACATTGGATATGAAGGGATTACCAAACTTTGATGACCAATAGGAGGTTACTGTCAAGATAAATTGGTTTGCCTTAATCCTTTTTACCTTATAGAATTTCGTAGTACAATAAAAGGTAACACTCGGGGATATTTTTTCAATTAATTGAGAGAGAATGTTAACGTTTGTGTGCTAAATGTCATTGGTCCTCATTATGCTTAGGGTTAAATGGGGTCGGTGGAAGAATGGTCTAAACCGTTGGTTTTCGACCGCTATGACCCGGATTAGATTCACGCATTGAGCACTTTTTTTTCTGATTAAAAAAAAATGCTCCAATGGCCCCCGATTCTTGCAAAAGTCCAACCTCACCAGCGAGTGCAAGTAATCAAACGGGGCTCTGGCACATTTGTAAGTGAAAGTCGAACTGCTTTTCACATGTGTAGATATTTGGTGCACTCACAGTAAAATCAGTCGCCTATTTCTTCCTACCAAGATTAACATGGCCTGTACCACGTGTACTAGGGATAAGTAAAAAAAGGGGTTAAATAAGCGATGTCTCCCCCCAGCGAATATAGAATAGAGTCTTGAAGAATAAATTTATTTCTTCTTCAAGATGATGTCTGGCGATTCTTTCTCTTGTAATAGAATACTCTGTAAATCTTACGTAAAGCATCTAAATAAACGGCAGGTGGGAAGTCAATGGATATCTTTGGTATGGGACTATTTTATAGTACTGGCAAGAAATGGATGAAAGGGATAAACAAGCTCAGAACATTCAAGTATTCATGGCTGGAGCAGTTCTGATGGTTGCGATATGTGAATGGCAACGGCATAAAGAATCAAATTTTCCATTTTCAAGTATAGATAACAAATATTTACACAATTAGATATCTGAAAATAAAGAAAGCATATCCTGACCAGGAGCATATGTGCTTTTCAGAAGGCAGAGCGCCATCTGGTGTAACAGAAATAAACTAATCATTGATTTAGCCTGTTCCCTGATATTTGGTCAACCCAATTTCTTGATAAATCAAGAAAAGCCATCCACGAACTTACACGAATTAGATATCTATAAAATCTTTGAAATAGATAATAAAATAAACAAATATATGTTCGTAGAACGAAATTTGGCAATTATACCGCAAATGTTTCTTTTGAACGAAAAATCGAAATTTATTTTAAGGAGAAATAACGATTATTTCTAACCTTAGGGATGAAGTTTGAAACGATGAATTGTGAAGAGTAATGATGAACGGAAAAATAAAGTGTCCAGGGATGGGAAACGAACCCACAGTGTTCCGCTTACCAGGCAGATGCCATGTCCACTAGACTACTAGGTACTCTAGATTATTTTAAAATATTTTGCCTTTGTAGTCTCAAATATATCTCTGATGATGATAATGGAAAAGCATTATCTAAGGTGCCATCCAATCAAGTCAGAACCCATCAAAAAGCTGAAGAAAATGTTTTAAAATATAATGCAAAATGAAATATGATATTGAGAACAATTTTAATCTACTTATATAATTGCCTTATTCTGAAGCTCACCGTCACCGTTCACGGATAGAATGCGCGCCCATTGGCTGCCGCCGGCGAACACGTGACCTCCCTGCCCCCCTCTAGACAACCCTGTTATCAGCTGTGTGATACATACACCTGTCTATAGCGGCCACTCTAGACAACCCTGTTATCAGCTGTGTGATACATCCACCTGTCAATACAGACCACCCTGTCTATAGCGGTCACCTTAGGCAACCCTGTTATCATTAGTGTGTTACATTCACCTGTATATACAGACCACCCTGTCTATATCGGTCACCCTAGGAAACCCTGTTATCAGCAGTGTGATACATACACCTGTCTATACAGACCACCCTGTCTATAGCGAGACCACCCAAGACAACGTTCTTAAAATATATTCGCACTCGGGTAAAACCCGGGCGTTGCCCGGGCCATTCGTCTAGTTTAATTATATTTAATTATATTTATAATTATAAATTTAAAAATATACAGGGTGTACCAGGTAAATTGGGAATTTCAACAATGGTATTTTAACTGAAATTTTTTGCAAGTAAAAATTAAAATATCAGAATGAAATTTGACACAGTAGTAGATAAAAGGATATAGTTTTTATTTATTCAATGTAGTTTCCATTATTAGCTACAACAGTCTCGAGGCGAGTGCGGAATGAAGCACAGGCCTTGGCGACGATGACCTTGTCCATTTGGGTCATCACCGTGTGAACTGCTTTCTTGACAGACTGGATGGTGGTATGAGGAGCTTTGTTGACATCTCTCTCAACAACGCCCCATACATAGTAGTCGAGGGGATTGCAATCTGGAGAATTAGGGGGCCAAATATCAGGACCCCAGTGACTAGGGACGTTAAGTGTCAGCCACGATTGTGTCTTTTTTGCCTTATGGGCTGGAGCTGAGTCCTGTTGGAAGACATACTTCCTTCCTGCGGCCACCATGTCCATCCAAGGCTTCACAACCATCTCCAGAACATTGATGTAGGTGTCAGCGTTCATCCTAAGGCCCTTCTCAAAGAAATGGGGAGGCATGACATCACCTTCACTGCTGATAACGCCAAGGACTATTACGGAGGCAGGAAATTTCGTGTGCATCACGACAGGTATCTCTGAGGGGTCTTTACAGATCCAGCGATCATTTCTGGGATTTACCTTCTGGTCCACGTCAAAGTTCTTTTCGTCAGAGAAGAACCTTAGCATGCCAAAAGAGTCGTGTTTCAGGTTGTTGAGGAGGGCAGCAGCCTTTCCTTTTCTGTTATTCTTCATATTCTCAGTCAGCAACTGACCTTTCCGAAGGGCATAAGACTTGAGACCAAGGTCCTCATGGATAGTTCTGACAATTGTCATAGAGCCAACGTCCATTTCCTTGGCTATGGCCCTCATGCTCTTCCCAGGGTTTCATTCAATCTTCTCCTTGACATTTTTGACAAATTCTTCGCCTCTTACCCTGTCCGATCGACGCGAGTGCTTTTTCCTTGTAGCTATCCCCTCTTTGTTACTGTCGGCCTCATCAAACTGCTCCTTGACACGATAAATAGTGGTTTTGGGCAACTTAAGAAAATCCACTATCTCTTTGGGGCTCCTTCCGGCGCGCAGAGCAACGATGATGGCAGCTCGATTTTCAAATTCTCGGTTACTCTTCATCACTACACTGCGCACACATGTACTGTTGCATTTTACATAAATATGGCTACGTAATGAAAAAAAAAACAAGTTTTTAATCTCAAGTAGTTTTTGTTTTATGGACTGTCAAAGTTAGTCCCAATTTACCTGGTACACCCTGTATATATAGAGAGAAATTTTGAAGTAAATATTTTGAACACGAAATATAAAATATCTCTCTATTTATTCAAATAAGTCATTAAAATAAATAATTTATCAATTTTACTCATATATAGGTTTTTAACTTTTAATTAGACAATTTTAATTTATATTTAGACATTTTTTATTTGAATTTAGACACTTTCATTTTTATTTAGACATTTTCAATTTTAATTTAGACATTTTTCATTTAAATTTCGACATTTTTCATTTTAATTTAGACACATGGACTTTTCTATTTATATATTTAAAAAAATGTCTAAATTGAAATGGAAAATGACTAAATTAAAATTGAAAATGTCTAAATAAAAATGAAAGTGTCTAAATTAAAATGAAAATGTCTAAATATAAATGAAAGTGTCTAAATTAAAATGAAAATATCTAAATATAAATTAAAATTGTCTAATTAAAAGTTAAAACCCTATATATAACTTTATTTACGATCTGAATAGGGCTTTATGGCTTGATGTAGGTTTATTTTAATATATATAGAGAAATATAAACTTATCTTATTCACATTATATTTCTCATTTTTTCATATTTTAGTTATATATAGGTATATGTGTATATATAATTTTTTAACAAGACGTTATATTCGTGTAATATCTCTCAAATATATAAATCAAATGAATTTAACAAATTATATAAAAGCATAATTTTATAATTTGTAATAAACTAGTTTATTCAAAAATACATATATAACCGAATAAAATACAATTGCAATACTATTTTATAAATCCACAATATGTATCTTTATTTAATTAACACTCATTTTTTGACTGTATATAGTTTCAAAAATAATTATTTTTAAATTATATTAGATATAATATTTATCATCAAAAATTGCGCATTTCTTTCTCATCAATAATAGGTGTTATCTCTATTAAATATTATATTTTCAACATTTTTTGCTATATTTAACATCTTTAATTATTTTTAAATATTTAAGCAAGTTTCAAATACCTGAGAATGATTCATTTCTTACGTTTTCTGTCATTTTTTGTTTTATATAAAATAACCCATTAAAGCCATGTTGAATTTTAAAAAAACTTTAAATCTTTATTTACATTTTTTGAACGTTTAGGCAGGGTGTTATTTTCACATCATCTTTCGCATGTATTTCAGACTGATAAAATTTAGATAATAATATTTTATAGTAAATTTTTATTTTTAATATTTAAAATTATATTTAAATTAAAATTTTGAATGATATCCTAATTTTGTAATTTTTAAAATATCCTATTCTACAATTTTCATTTTTAAAGATTATTTCTAATTATATACGGATGACATATTTAGTAAATAAATAAATACAGGCATTTTTATTTGTGGGCATTATTATTATACAAAATATTATTAGCTATTATATATAGAGAAAAAAAAATAAAATAAAATAAAAAAAATAAATATGTTTTACATTCTTTAAATATTTTTTTATGATAAAGATATCGATTTTTTTCAGAGTTGAGAACAAATATAAATCTCTGTGATTTTGTTAGTAATGAAAGAAAAGTACCTTATATACCATAAAACTATGATAATAAAAAAATCTCATTTTAGAGGAAATTTTTCCAAGCATAAAATGAATTTTCTCCCCCAACGAGTTAATACGAAGAATGAAAAATGGTTCATAAACTTTGTGATTTAAACATTTAGTTATTCCTTTAACGATTTTATTGGGTTAAAAGTTTAGACGTCTCCGAATTTCATA